GTGTGGACCCTCACCTATCGCTTGCTGCACTGTGGGTGAAGGCCTCGATTACACAACATGTGCTGGCCCGGTAGTAGCAGCAAAAACAATATTATTCGTAGTAATAGTAGTAGTCGTCGTCGTCGCAGTGGTAGTAATCGTAGTAGTAGCCATACGAAGTACAGGATCAATACCAATAATAAGAATGCGAGTAGGAATCGTGGTAATAGTAGAAGTAGTAGTCGCGACCGTAATCGTAATAGCAGTATGCGTAGTAAGAGTACGAGTAGTAGTTGTACGAGTAGTAGTAGAAGGAACAGGAGTATGGTAGCATCAGCGGTATTACTACTAACACTACTAAGCTGGACTAGTGTTAGTAGTCGTAATAGTACTAGTAGTAAAAGTAGTAGTAGTAGTAGAAGTAGTAGTAGTCGTAGTAGTAGTACTAGTAGTAGTAGTAAGAGTAGTAGTAGTAGTAGTAGTAGTAGTAGTAGTACTAGTACTAGTAGTAGTAGTAGTAGTAGTAGTAGTAGTAGTAGTAGAAGTAACAGTCGCAGAACTGAAGGCAGAAGTAGTAGTAAACATACTAATAGTAGTAATAGTGGTAGTAGTAATAGTGGTAGTAGTAGTCATAGTAGTAGTAGCAGTAGCAGTAGTAGTAGTAATAGGAGTAATAGTTGTAGTAGTAGCAGCAGCAGCAGCAGCAGTAGTAGTAGTAGTAGTAGTAGTAGTAGTACTAGTAGTTTAGTAGTAGTTGCCGTAGTAGCAGTAGTTGTAGTAGTAGTAGTAGTAGTTGTACTACTACTACTACTACTACTACTGCTACTCCTGCTACTACTGCTACTACTGCTACTACTAGTACGACTACTACTACGACTACTACGACTACTACGACTACTACGACTATTACTGATAGTACGACTACTACTACGACTACTACGACTACTACGACTACTACGACTACTACTACTTCTACTACTACTACTACACCTACTACTACGACAACGACTACTACTACTACTACTACTACTACTACTACTACTAGTAATAGTAGTAGTAGTACGTAGTAGTAGTAGTAGTAGTAGTAGTAGTAGTAGAGTAGTAGTAGTAGTAGTAGTAGTAGTAGTAGTAGTAGTAGTAGTAGTAGTAGTAGTAGTAGTAGTAGTAGTAGTAGTAGTAGTAGTAGTAGGCACCAGTGTCGGTGTCCACATACGTCGCCCCCACCCAGCTCGGCGTTTCGTGGCCCCACAGGGGTCCACCTATGGCCCCAGTGGCCTTGTCCACATGCGTCTCCCCCACCCAGCGGGGCGCCTCGCACCCCCGAAGGGAGGCCAGAAGGGCCTCCTCGAACCAACACCGGCCCGAACTATTGGGGTGTCGGTGTTGGTGTGGTGTGCGGGGGGAACGGGCCGCCAGCGAACGTGTCCATCAACAACAACAACAACAACAATCATTTTACCCGAACGCGTGGTGTTCTCCCCAGTGCCAGGGTTTTCATACGACACCAGGCAATACCCCCACTTCGTGGGGGGGCATTACAAGCTCTACCAAATATCCAAACGACTCTTCGCGACCACCCAAACCCAGCTTCCCGCCCTATGACGTTGGGACACTTCACTTCGTGGCGTGCGGACGACCGTGGCTACTACACTGGCGTGGGGTACACACCCACAGAACTTGGTCACTTATTCGGGGCGCGCATGTGCCCAGCATGGTGCAATTGTGCCATACAATACATAATACAGAGAGACGAATGTGTCCCGCATGGTATTATTTGACAGGGATGATGGCCCTGGCAGGTGCGCAACCGTTGTCGCAGAAGTTCGAAAAAGTTGCTCGCAAAAGCCCGTTTGACAGAAATGTTTAAAAAGTGTTGGTTTTCCTACGAATCCGCAAGAGCGCGCGGGATGAGATTTTGACATTTTTTTGTTGAAAAACCATTGGTTTTTTGATGTTTTTATGTTAAAATCGCTCCGAACACTAAGCTTTTGGAAGGATTTCGTCTTGCGCGCGCGAATGTCCACTTTACCTTATTTGTTGCAAGGGATTCTTGAAATTTGATTATATTTGAACAAGAAATTTCATTTTATAGTGTTTTTTGCAAGGGAAAGCGGGGGGGGAACAAAACAACCGGATCTTGATCACATCGAATTGCCTGAGGCTTCCTCACGAAAATGATGAAAACGTGGCTGCGGCCTAGGCGCGGCGGGGGGGGCGCGCACCAGGGGGCCCAACAATAATTATTCTTTAGAATTAATCATGTTCAACAACAACAACAACAGCAGGAACAACAACTTCAGCAGCAACAGCAGCAACAGCAGCAGAGACAACAGCAACAACAACAATCAATAAAGGACTGTTCACCCTTCCTTGCTCGCGTGCCATTCAACACGTATATCCCGAACCCTCGATACCCGCCCTCTTCGTCTTCGATCGTACCCCCTTGGGGGGCATATCTTTCTTACCTATAACGTGTATTTCGTGCAGCCCCTGAGGTAGAGGAAGAGAGGACGGATGAAAGGAAGGGACAAGGGGGAGGGAGGAGGATGGAGCATAAGAGAGAGACTAGAAGGAGGGGGGCTAGGAGCAGAAAACACGTGGCAGAACCAGCTGGGCAGATCGGGCGGGTAAACCCTACTAGGCGGGTCGGGAAGGAGGGCCCAGGCGGCCAGGTCGAGCAGGCGGGTTGCTGAAACGTGCGTCCTGCATGAATCGCGAGGAAGTCTAGAGCGAGAGCGCGAATTCCAAGTCAATCGTAAGGAAATCCACAGCGAGAGCGTGACTCCTGATTGCGAGGTAATCCCACGCGAGAGCGCGAACTCTGAATAAATTGTAAGAATGTCCCGCGCGAGAGCGCGATTTGGGAAAAAGATGTGAGGAAGTATCAGGCGGGAACCGTTGTTGTTGCAATTCGGGTGCCAACAACGCAAATTGAGGAGGAAGACTTTCCCTGATAAAAACCGGGTGAGAGCCCCGGGAGGAGCACTTCAATTGAAAACAAGCAAATGTTACCGGAGAAGGGGGATCAACAACAATTATTCTTCCGTAGTGGGAGTTCAACAGCCACATCGACGACGACGACGACGACAGCAACAAAGGACATCTCAAGCCTCGAGCCTCTATCCAGGATAGAGGCTCGAGGCTTGAGAGTGTCCTTTGTTGCCCGCGCGGTTCTCGGCCCGCGCGGGGCCAGGATTCCGGGCCCCGCGCGGGCCGAGAATGTGGAACCTCGCCACACCAAGCATCGAAGCTGGATCCCCCTCTGATGTTGCCCGCCGTGTCTCGGGTCATACAACGTCCACAAGAAACCCAAACCTGGACCCCCAGGATGATCATTGATTTCAATTGATTTCTGATGTGGGAATGTCACGTTCTCCATGATGAACCATCGTAACCCGAGAATTCTAAGACACCCTGGAGGCAAGCCAGGTGTTTCTTGGCACGGGTTTCCACTGTAACTCGGCTGCCCGGTGGCCGTTCAGGACGATCCCAGCAGCTCCAGAACGCCCTCGGAGGCGAGGCGTTGCCGCTGAAAGGCACCCCGAGGCTGGAAAGCCGCCGAGAACCCACGAAAATGCCAGGAGAGCGTTCTTTGCTCGGCGACAACGAGCGTCATGGGGGGGGAAGGGGTCGGGAGGGGGGGGCATAGCCATGTGGGCCTGCGGGCCCGGCACCACAAACTGTGGTGCCGGATGAACTGCGGCAGTGCTGGGGACGCACTTTGGGGGGGGGGGAGAATGTTACGTTGTGTGGTGTTAAGCCGCGGGGGAGGCGGGTGGGGAACAACGCGCACTATGGCCCAGAGGGTGGTTAAAAAGTTCGGTGGCAACTCACGAGAGCCTTCCGTACCATCTTGTGGGCTCTTGCGAATCGACGCTGGTCGACGCTAAGTCGACGCTACATCGACGCAAATCGACGCTGGTCGGCGCTGAATCGGCGCTATCTCATCGACAACCAGACGCCAGCCGACAATAACGCACTCCAACAACCGAGCTACGAGGGCATACAAGGCTCCCATGACTTGCCACCGAGGAAACACTCACCCGAAAGCCTGGACCTCGGACCTCGGACCTCGAAACCGAAGGATGTTCGCCACACTAGCGGCCGCTGCTGGCCCCTGCTGAACGTTCTCCGACGGGGCCAGCGCGAAACGTGACGTTGCCGGCCCCGCCCACCGTCCCCCCCCCCAGGCGGTGGCGCCTGTTCTCGCCCAGGGATGCCCGTCGGTCGGAGCAGCAGGTGCGAACATGAGGTAGGATGGCGCTGGAAAGAGATCGAGCTCCCGCCCGCCCCCCGGAGAGGGCGGAAGGGGGAACACCGCTCGACCCTTGAAGTGGGAAGGCGGCTAAAGCGTCGGCGGCGTCGGCGTCGGCGTCGTCGTCGTCCTCGTCCTCGTCCTCGTCCTCGTTGTCGGCGTCGTCGTCGGCGGCGGCGGCGTTGTCGGCTCCTCGCGCGGCACCGTCGGGGCGCTCGGGGGCCCTCGCCCGAGGGGCTCGGGACGTCCGGGGATGCCTGCTTCCAACGCCCGGCTCGTGGTGGCTGCTACAAAGGCGTTCCCGGACGGCGCCGGCGCGAAACGTGACATCGCGGGCCCCGCACGCCCTGCCCCCCCGAGGGGGGGGCGCCGGTTCTCGCCCAGGAATGCAGGGGAGGCCAGTGCACAAGGAACCTGCCATGAGAAACCCAACCCCGAGACCCCAAGACGTCCATCGACTTTTGGTGTGGGGACGTCACGCCTTCCACCACAAAACCGTCGAGACCCAAGAACCCCTGGGCACCCCCTGGAGGCGAGCAGGGTGTCTCTTGGCATGGGCCTCCACTGTAGAAGAGATGGTGGGCTGGTTTTCCACCGCCACCACCACCGCCACCACCAGAAGTTGGAGGGGGAGGGGGTCCTCCTCCACCTCCTCCTCCTCTTCGTCCTCCTCCTCATCCTCCATCTCCTTCCCCCCTCCAACTTATGGTGGTGGTGGAAAAAAGGCCCACCAAGAGAACCTTCGGAGAGAGGCCGCGGGACGCTCCTCGGCCTCGCACGGCTGCACGCCGCCGCAGCACGCGGCGCCTGCCGGCGCGGCGCGGCGCCGGCGCGCGCGAGCGCGGGCGCGCCGCCGCGCCCACGCCGCTGCACGCCGCTGCGGCCGCGGCCGCCTCCGCCACGCGGCGCCTCCGCCACGCGCCGCCGCCGCGCGGCGCCGCGCGGCGCAGCGCGGCGGGACGGAAGGCGGGCGCCGAAGGCGGCGCCGACGGCGAGGGCGCCGAGCCCAGATGAGGCCTCCTAGATGGGGTCGAGCAGATGGGTCGGAGGATCGGGCCGCATCGCCGATACATCGGCGATGCATGATCAATGCATCGGTGATGCACCAGCGATACACCGTCGAGGTCGGCGATGCATCGGCGACGTCGACGTGAAGCAAATCAGGCCCCACATCGGCCGCATCGTCGATGCATCGGCGATGCGGCGCGATCCTCCGACCCCATCTACTCCGACACCATCTAGGAGGCCTAGGCCAGACCCCCTCGGGTCACGACAAAAAATCATGAAGGGGGGCTGCCCACTGTCCGGGCGCTGCGACCTGCCGAAGACCTTCGTGCTGCGTGTGTGCCCTCCCCCTCTTCCAGCTTCGCGCGGCCCCGCCCTCGACCCGCGGATCAACAAAGTGCCATCCCCTCCCTCCTCCTCGCTCCGCGGCCGCCCTCTGCCCTGTCTCTTCCTTTGGCTGCCAGGCAGTGCGGACGCCTCGCCCAATCTACAGGGCATCTGTTAATACATAGGATGTTTTAAAACATTGGATTTTTGCTACATGAGTAATGGATACATACATTTATGCACGAACTCATCGTTGTTTTTAATGCTAGATCCCTGAATTTTTAATACATGATCCGCACGCGGAGCATGTCTTAAAAACGGCACTTGTACTAGAGCGCGCGAGCGGATCGCCTCTGCCGCGCCGCGGCGGCAAAGTGTTGCCAGAAGAGCCCCCATGGTTCGTGGAGGGCTCCCCACGTCTTCTGCCGTCCCTCCCACCTCGCGCGGGAGCGGCCACGACGTGCTCCAAGCTTCCCTGAAGGGGCCCTGGGACACACAAATAAATACACACAACTGACAGGATTCCCTATCTTGTCCCATGTTTTCTGGGTTTTTGTCTTCCCCCCCACTTCCCATATTTGCCCACATTTCTGGGGAATCGACAATTCATTGTGTCTGTGTGTCTGTGTGTTTCTTTCCCCCTGATTCACTTGGAGATCTCTGGAGTTACCTGGAGTTGGCCAGATGTGCCTGGATTCACTTCGGCTGATCTGCGTTTGCCTGGATTTTATCTGGCTCGAGCCCCACAAGGCGATTGGCGAAAGGTCGCCAAGCCCTTCGGAACTGGCCCAAGGTGCCCCCAGGACTTCCAGGGAGGGCCCAGCGGCCTCCAGAGAACCCCTCACGAGGCCCAAAGGGCCCCCAGGGCTCCGAAACGGACCGAGAAGCTGGGGGTACCTTTACAGGCCTCCCCAATGAGGTCCGATAGGAGGCCACAGGCGAACCCTACCCCACCACCCCACGATTTCTAGGGGGGAGGTGGGGTTCACTTCGTTCGGGACCTCCCGAGAGAAGTGAGCCCCGCATCCGCCTTAGAAATCGTGGGGTGGTGGGGTAGGGTTCGCATGTGGCCTCCTATCCGAGCAGATGGGATCGGAGGATCGCGTCGCATCGCCGATGCATCGGCGACGTTAGCGTGGAGAAAATCGGGTTCCGCATCGAGCCGAATCGCCGATGAAACGGCGATGCGGATTTATCCTCCGACCCCATATGCCCAGAATCCATCCGGGAGACATGGAACTTTGTCCCAGGGGCAACTCTAGCAACCCTCAGACTATTTGTAGGTCGGGCGTGTCCTCCTACAGGGGGATTCTGGACGAAAGAAAAATAGTCAAAAAGTGTTCGAAAATATTCAAACAATTATAGAAAAAGTGTCCCCTGATTTTTTTAAACTATTTTTGAACATTCCTCCTGTAGAGGGACACGCCCGACCTAAGACGATTTTCGGCCGTGGGGGGTCCCTTGCCAGCCCTCGGGCCGTCAACGAACGACTCGGGATGCCGAGCCGGGGAATGGGTCCAGACCGCTGGGATCCGCGTCGTGACAAAAATCACGACGTCGGGGATCTGGGATGCCTGGGGCATGGGCTCAGAGGGAGCAAACTTTCGAGGTTCGAAGTTTTCGGGCGTTGTCGCAGGTTCTCAAAAGTGCTTCAGCCTCGCGATGCGTTCCAACGGCTGCACATCGCCAATATGTTTCTCGGGATGCCCAGCTCGTCCCGAACGGCCGCCGGAGACCCGAGCTATGACCCGAAAACCTGATGACGATGGGCGTTGCCAGAAGACTTCTCAACGGCTCAACCCCAGGCATTGGCCCCCTGAGTACATCATGGGCTAGGGCCACTTAGTAACCCTGACCCAGTGTGTCCCAATGATCTCCAGGGAGACCCCCGCGGCCTCCAGAGCGCCCCTTCACGAGGCCCAGGGAGGGCCCCAGGGGCTCCAAACTGGAGCGAAAAGCTAAGGACACCTCCCCAGACATCCGACGGCTTGATGCTTTCGATGCGGGGCTCCCAGAAGTCCCGACCATTTCCCTGGGCCCAGTCTTCATCCCGAGCGCGCTGTTTATGATGGTCCCAGGACCCGGCAAGGGCCCCCGGTCGCCGAAAATTTCCAGAGACCATCCATCCTGATCTGTTCACGACGCGAGCATGCCTGGGCTTGGGCCAGGAGCGCCTTTGGCAACACCCGACCGGGGCCAGCCAGGCCCCGCCGAGGCCGCCAGAGCGGCCCCGAATCAGCGGGCGGCGTGAGCGGGGGCGTGCGGGCAGCAGGGGCTCGGTGCGACCGCGGCCTCGAGGCGGCGTGCTGCCCTTCAAGCCGCGGCGGCGAGCCGAGGAGGAAGACAGAGGGGGCGGGCCTTCCTGCCCTCCGAGAAACTTCCGGAGCCTTCTCCGAAGACACAAACGGCTTCAGGAGGCTGGATGGAAGGCACAGGGACATACTAGTACTGCATGTCCTCCCAGGAGGCGTGCGTCCAGCACAAACATATCGCATAGCCATCCTGCAGGATGTCGCTTCCCGGGCAGTATGGCCAGCGAGCGCCCGGCACGGAGCTTGTAAGATTGCTCGGCGCGCGCGTGGCCCCTGCGGGGGGCGACGCACACGTAGTACTAGTATGCTGGGGTAACGCCGGCTGGAGGGTTTCTGAAAAGCCCCGCCGCCTTCTGAGCGCACCGCCGACATTGGAGACCCCATCGAAGTCCAGAATCATTCCCCATAATGTCAGCTCTTCGCCCCGGGTCGTTGTCTGAATGCCCCGGGGCGCCCGGTGACCGGAGTCCGAAGACGCCGAAAGATCTTGATGCTGATTTATCCCAGACGCTGGAGGTATAAGTTCTTGGAGGCTTGGAAATGGGCACCAGCGCCTCCACCAGGGAAGACGATCCTAGAGTCAGGTGTCGGAGGAAATCTTTCGGTCCCCCAGGAAGCACGAATCTGACCATCACCGAGGTAGGGAGCATCCTTCCCCTGTGGCGACACACCGCCGATATTGGTGCTGGTGTCCACCTCTAAGCCTCCGAGGCTGGCTTGACTCGTAAAACAATCGATCGAGGAGGTAACGCAATGCACAGCAATAGACATCAACGTAACGCAATGCAAAGAAACACACAGCAGGCGGTGTACAACAGTGCAAAGCAATCGTGAAGCAATGCATAGCAATGATGAAGCAATGCAGAGCAACGCATAGTTAGGCGGTGCAGTGAAAAGCGGGGCAAAGCGACGCCAAGCATAGCCAAACAATGCAAAGCCATGCAAGGTACTGCCAAGCAATGCGAGAGAGTTCTCAGCACATCATAGCAATTAGAAGCACAAAACAATGCCAAACCATGCATCCAAGCAGCGCCATGCAGTGCGATCGTCATGCAATGCCAAGCAAGCGCTGCGAAGCGATGCAAAGTCATGCAAGTAATGCAAAGCAATGCACAGCAACGCAAAGCAATGCAAAGCACGGCATAGCACAGCATAGCAGTGCAACGCATTGCGAAGCAGTGGAAAGAATAGCGTAGCACAGCATAGCAATGCAAAGTAATGCAGACTCTGACGACGGACGGCGACGTGGCGTCGACGGAGCGGCGACGGGGCGGCGACGGCGGCGACATAACCGCCAGACCGACTCCCACGCCCAGTTACTTCTTCTGGAAGTAAGACCTCCTAGATGCAAGCACTGTTCGGGGAATACCCATTAGATGACGTTTCTCTCGACCAGACTTGGCGGCGCGCACAAGCAGGTAGGGGGAGGGTGGAAGGCTTCTCAGAATGATGCTGCTTCTTAGAGGACCCTGAACTCACACGTGCAGTCAAGGCCCGCGCCTTCTACGAAGAAGGGGTGCTTCTAAGAAGCCTTCCCCCCTCCCCCATACCCATCGGTCGGAAAGAAGTAAGTAGAAACATTAAGTAGGAAGGCGTTGAAATAGATTGGGCTTCCGCCCGCCCCCTGAAGAAGACAGAAAACGTGAAGCCACTCGATCCTTGAAGTAGGAAGGCGCTTAAAATAGGTTGGAACCTGTAACTCCAAACATACCTGTTCCAACGACACATGCGTATCCCCCTGCGCGAGAAGCCGACAGAATCCTGCTGGCCTTTCGCGGCGCGGGCTGCCCGGAGGCCTGCGTGCCCGTGGCCATGATGCATCATGGCGGCGCCAGGCGGCGGGTGCACGAAGCCGCTGACGCCCGGGACGGAGAACGAGGCGCCGTGCCTCGAGGAGGGGGGAGGTCATCCTTCCCCTCCTGCCTCCTCCGCCCTGCCCTTCCTCCCTGCTCCCGCCAAACGCCTGTTTTTCCCTATTCCCTCTTCCTACCTCCTCTCGACTCAGCCTGAACGCGAACAGGGTTGTCCGCGCCACATGCCACTTGCGCCACCGCGTAGCAAATGCCAGAGGCGGGTGGCGCCTCCCGAACAGTGCCCAGAAATGAAAGGCGATGCCAGCACCCAGGCTGGCAGACGTGGAAGCCGCACATCACGGCGCAGCGCTGAACGAGAGGGGCTGCACCACACCAGCACGGATCAGAGAGGCCGTGCGCAGCGGATCCTCGAGGTACCGCCACACCCGATTGACCTGGAAACGTGCAGGCGCACGCGTGAGGCCCGAGAGGACTCGAGCACCCCACGTGCCTGAAGCGGGAGGGCCTCGACAACCCTGTGACAAGTTCGCAGAGATCTTGACCCCTCCCAAACCGCACACAACACACACAGTACACCACAGCCTCCGCCCACCGTCCCCAATAACGGCGAAGGGGTGCATGACATGCGGCCTCTCATCCGCAAGCTGCACCCGCACGGAAGCCAGGTCTGCTCTCGACAGGCGGGGCGGTGTGACTGGCGGCGGGGGCTCCACCACCACCCTTGGCACAGAGCAGCCCACTGCGCCTGAGCCACGAGCCTTGCGCTGCCGCCGAGGGACGCGCTCACAATCGGCGTCGCACATGCGAGGCCCAACACGCGCAACCCAGGACGCCCACTGAGAGAGCACGAGGGCCTTGGCTTTGCGAACGCGGCGGAGCTCAGGGTCTATGCGGGCTCTCGAGGCCACCCACTGAGCCCATTCATCAGCATGAGCGTTACCCTCTTTTTCAAAACGAGTCGACAGTCCAGACTGGATGCGGGCTTCGGTGCAATGGCCCTTGACTTTGCGAAGGTCGACGCACTCGATGCCGCCCCAGTCTTCGATGCGGCGCCAGACCTGAAC